AGTAGTACTAATATTTAAGAGTATTTTGAGTTGACATTGACCTACCTATAATATTTAACTCAATAAGGCCATGAGCATACCTAATCATCACTTAATTGTATCCATATATAGGGATAAGTGATTAATCAAATATACACCAATTTTACATTATATAATGAAGAGGTACATGCGACAATTTCATGCACTTCAATCCACATTTTTATCCACATTGCCTCTAAAATTTCATTTGTAAATCCTGAATACCAAAAGAATGTCAGTGAAGGAATGCAATGTTGACCTAGAAAGTCCTATGTTTGGGTCGTGGTTACAAATATATTCAATTATATAAAAGAAATAACTCTAGCCTGTAATTATTAACATAAAATCATTTTTAAGGTACTCGGCCATGGAAGCCAACCTTAATAATTGAGAAAGGAACAAAATCAAATTAAATATGTATATAGAATCAACAATAGGTAGGCGAAGGGCACCTCTGTGGCTATAAATATAGCAATTTATTTGAATATTATAAATTATATTTATCCAAATAGTTTATAGTCTGCAGTTTTAAAATGACAAAGTTTTTTCTTTTATATTTTACCATTGTTATCTTAATTTTTTTTTTTTTTTTTTTTTTTTTTGGGTATTGTTAAATTAAATTTAACTCAAATAGATTATATTCAACATTTATCCGCCACATAATCGAACAGTAAAATTCCAACTGAAATTACTTTTCTAAGTAAGAATTATTAATGGGTCAAGTAGGTACCAGTTTATTTTTATAAGTTGGAGATTGGAGATTGGAGATTGGACTTTTCATATTTTCAATTACTCTGTATCTCTTTTATTATAATTCATTAATTAAAAAGAGTTCAAAAAATTAAGAATTATCAATGAAAAACAAAAAATAAATAAATATATTACAATAAGTTTGATAATAAAATTGAAAAAAATATATATATAAAGTAATAGTAAGACTAAGAATAATAAAAAAAAATTAAACAAATCACCCAAGACTACGCCCACTGTGCCTTATATTAAATTCATTAATATATATTTACTAGGTATTTAATATGATATATTATTAATTTAATGATTGTGATATTATGATTAATATCGACAGAATTGCTTTAGAAATGAATAACTACAGTGGACCAATAGGAAATTAGGAGAAAACTTTTATTAAGTTTCATGGATACTATAATAGTCAACAAGACCTCAATTTGGTCATTCATAGATTTATTTAAATAATATTTCAGTTCAGAGATATATATTTGACTGACATCGTAAGGAAAATACTTCAACATTATATGACCAGCCAATGGAGGCATTAGAAATCAGATTTGAAGTGTAAGAGTTATGATCCATCGAAAACTATTTTGGATGACTAATTTTTCAATTTTAAAATATAAATTACTAATTTCTTCATAAGGGCATGAAATTAGAGAATAAATGGCTTCACAAGAATTATCAAGATGAAAAATAATAATGGAGCAATTCATAATCATGAAAAATTTTACCGAGCACAGTAAAATTTGAAAAGACACAATTTTAATGAATATATTGTAAGTAATTATTAATTTTTAAGAGAGTTATGTTAGTTTTATAATATTTTATGTATGCAAAGATGAAATAAAATTTATATAAATATAGCTTGAAATGTAGTAGATGATGATAAAGTTTGCATTTTATAGTTTATTTATTTGTAATTTTTGACATGCAAAAAATTTTTGATGGCCAAAGATGAATGAATTTAGCTTTTGTAAATTTTAATTATTTTAACTTGGGGTGTGGATAATTAGTTCAACTCAATCTTGAGGTGAAGAGCAAGTTTTTAAACTAAGTACATATTTAAATAGGTAATAAGATAAATATTAAATTTAGTTTTTGAAATTTTAATTATTTCTTGGCAAGCCAAAGACCAAGCAACAATTAGTAGGTCCTCCACCGAGAGTAAGCACAAAGTAAGTCCTAACACTAATGCTGAGGTTGTATAGATTCAATCACCACTAAACGAATTTGCCATTTTTCTAACATTGACTTTGGTTTTATAATGTGACCATGTTACCACTGTCTATCTTATCGCAAATCCAATATTTCATACCAGGACTAAGCATGTGAAGATTGAAGTACTACTTTAAGTAGCTTTCCTCAAATGAGTCCAATCTTAATTTATTCCTTTGGTTGATCAAATTGCAGATACCTTCACAAAGGCATTATTAAGAAAGAATTTTAAAAAATTTAGGGGCCCAAAATATAAGCCTCGAAAGCTTAGAGTTCATGCATCTAAAATGACATGAGGAGAGTCTTGATGCTTCAAACGGTGTCATGGTCCTCAAATTGAAAATGTGTGCTGCACACTTGTCTCTAGTTTTCGAAGCCTAATTTAGTTTTATTTCTAGCAATTAAAACTGATATAAAAATCTAGCTTCACCAAAACAATGTGTCCTACTCATTCCAACTTTTTATTTTGTTTAAATTAATTTTTCTTATTTGAATTAAATATTGAATATGTGTTACAATTAAATTCTAAAATTGTGCACTATAAGCATATATTTTTGTTGTTAAATGAGACAATAAAAGAAACTTTAATATTTAACACTTTTGTAAATAACACAAAAATTGACTAATCACCATTAGTAAAGTAGTTGATAGTTCCAATTCTCTTATAGAGAATTTGGATTCAGATAGTAAGCTTTATTTGATAAATAACAATATAAAGATAAAAACATTGTAGTCATTAAGAAAAGAGTTCACTAATTCCACTCTTTATTTAATTGTCTTTATATTTTACATAAAAATCCATAAATCTTCAAATAAACACCTTCAATATATCATGCATGAAACAAACATTCTTGAATTTTTTCTTTTTTCTTCCAACTTAATATCTTCAAGAGAATGCAATACATTAAGAATACTTATCTGAAATATGTTTGAGACAAGAACATAGTTCTTCAGGTTTAGAAAACATAACCATGTGATCAGAGCCAATGATCGACATTACTTCATCCATTGGATTTTTCTCAATCATCCACCTTTGAAAGTCTTCTTTTAGCACCTTATCGTTTTCACAAATGATGTGAACTCTGTGAACTGATCCAAATTTCTTCTTTGTGACTACTGCACTGCTTGTAAGTATTGGATCAAAAAACAGACGCGAAGGTCTCATCAATGTTGTTGCCAGCAACAAGTACTACCTCGGTCAAGATAACAAGAATCAACTAACTAGTAAGTTAAAAATTAATTAAAATATATCTAATTTTTGGGAAAAAAAAAAAGCTCACTTGTAGAAGTTATTACCCCTTTATCAACTTAAACCTAAACATAATAGTGTATACTCACCTTAGTAATAATGTCATGTGTCACTAGTTGAATTAAAGGTATTTAGCTCCTTAGTCCAAGGGCTTCTACTACTAAGGGCACCTTTTAGGCGGTATAACATGTAAGGATAATGTGTAATCTTTTCTATACTTATATCCAAGTAAAGAGTTATATTTTAAATTTTAAAAAAACTTGAAATAATAAAACTTTGTCAAATAATATTACCTCTGGAGGGGAGTGCTGGTAGAGCTTAGAAGATAAGAAATTGGGCCCAAATAGCATGCTTGTAGGAGGCTTATTGTTCCCATCATCAAACATGTATTGTATGTCCATATGATCATCCACTCTTCGAAAGCACTGCAAGCTCATGGTTATAGTTTCTTTTTTAAGAAAAATAGAAGAAACCACTCTAGTAAAAAGTTAAAAAATTGTTTTTGTTCCCTTATTTTAAATCATTACAAATTGTGTTTCGAGTTCAACAAAACAACTTAGGACTATTTATATGTCCAAAAAAGCTTTTAGAGTTTTAAGAATTAACAATCATATCATAAAACGTTTAATATGAAATTGAATATGAATTATTCAAATGAAAGTTATACCAAAAGATTTATTATATATTTATCCCTTACTGTAAAACTAGAACATTTTGTCGTTATTCAAGAAGTTTCTTTTTCTCTACCAATGAACTTATTTACAAGATTTTATATTATTCACTCACTCTAAAATTATGCTATAACATAAAGGATGATAAAAAGATTTTAATCCATTTACTCTAATTCACTTAAAGATCACAACAAACATAATTATATGGTGAAAAGATTTTAATCCATCTATGCTCCAAAGAGAGAGAGAGAGAGGGATCAATACCTCTTCCATTATTGTAGTTAAGCTTAGGTCAAAACTAGGTATTATAGCATTGACAAAGACAGCAACAGAGATTTTGTATGAGAACATTTCCATGGCAGCTGATATGCAAACCCCACCAGTACTATGACCAACAAGAACCACCTTCTCTTCTGGTAAAATTGAGGCCATGAACTGCATCAACGGGTCGATGTAGTCGGAAATAGTATGAATCTCATGCAGTTGCTTTGGGTGAACTCCAGAACCAGCCATGTCTAGGGTTGTAACTTTGTAGCCTGCTTCTTTTAATAGGCTCGCCACCTTATACCAACACCATGCTCCATGACATGGTCCATGAACCAACACAAAGTGTCTGTCATTTTTCTCCATCTTTTGTCTTTCCTCCAACTCTACTTGTAACAACAAAAGATATGTCACCTTGTGCAGCCTGAATTTATATAAAAAATAAAATTGAAGCTTACGTATGTACTTACGTACGTATATATCTATAATTATGTGCAAACATGTATATGTTGTCATATGCATTAAGTACATAAATATAACAATTTTTCTATATTTTATTTACACCCTTTTGTCAATGTTGGAGCAAAAATTTCATTTGTAAATTACGTATATCTTCTAATCATTTCAGTCAAAAGACAAAGTTGGGATTTTTATAATTTATATTGAGTCCCAAAAGCTTCTATAATTTAATTTATCGTTTAACCCTGAAATTAAAGTCAAAGCAAAATTAATTATCATTTAAGTTTTTGTCTCCCTAAATTAATACACAACAACTCTAGCCTCAACTAATAATGAAATTGTTAAAAATAGTATATAATTATTAATATAAAATCATTGTTAATGTACTCGGCCACGACCTTAATAATTGACAAAATCAAATTAAATATGTATAGAATCATCGATAACTTGGGAAGTACGCATTTATTGTGGCTATAGATATAGTAACTAACTTATTTGAATATTATAAATTATAATTATCCAGAAATTCATGTGAGTCAATGATCTCCAAATGAGAAATTTTTTTTTTCTTTATATTTTATTGTTATCTTAAATTAAATTATATTCAAACATTTATCAGCTACATAGTTGAACAGTGAAATTCCAACAATAATTATTGTGATGTATATTTAAGTCAGAAGACAAGGTGACGATTGCCTCTTCAATTTGTGTCAATAAATTCAATCTACAGTAACAAGTTTAGTTTTCCAATTAAGAATTATTAATGGGTCAAGTAGGTACGAATTTATTTTTACAAGTTGGAGACTGGAGATTGGACTTTTCATTTATTAAATTATTTTTTTTATTAGATTTAAATTAAAAAGATTTCAAAACAAATTAAGAATTATTAATGAAATACAAAAAATATATATATATTGTAATAAATTTAATAATAAGAATATAAATTAAACAATAATATATGCCACTGGCCTATATTAAATTCATAAGATATATTTACTTGTTATTAAATATGATACATATTAATTTAAAGATTTTGATATTATGATTTAGATAAACATTCGATACAAGGAGAAAACTTAATATTGAATGTATTAGATTTATCTGAAGGTGATCAAATTATTGTAGAACTGAATAACTACAATGGACCAATAGGGACTTTGGAGAAAACTTTATAAAGTTTCATAGGGAACAATATTCAAAAGATCTTAGTTTGTGCATATCAATGAAAGATTGCATGGACATCTGGGATGAAGCCACGTCCCCTGAAGATGTCGTTTGAAAGGTCAAGATCTGCTCCCCAAAAGCAAAGCCGCACACTTTGAATGGTCGTGATCGTTCGTGGCAGAGATCGGACACTCTATGTTCATACGTGGAAAAAGTTGAGATACGCACTACGGACGTTTGTGATCTTCTGTGACAGAGATTGAACAGTCCAAATGTGTGCACGAAAAAGTAGAGAGGCGAGGATCCTCGACCTAGATTGCGTGCGGGTTAGATCCAACAACTAGAATTTAAAACGCATGTGAATTGTCGATTTTACCTCTAAGATTAAATGAATCCGACGGCTAGAAAACATTGCATGGGAATGGACAGCCCATATAAAATTTTCCTCATTTTGCTTCTGTATACAAACGAGCCTTCTTCTTCCTTCGGCCATGAAGAGTGGCCGTGAGAGAGTGAAGAGAGCTTAGTCGAGGGAGATGGAGTGTGTGGGCTGTGGAAAACCTTTCCCACAAGGAAACATGCGAGAGACTGAATTGGTTGCCACCATGATTGTGGGTGGCATGCCTAAGATCAAAAGAGACCAGGAAAACCCAAGTAACTTGGGAAACCCGAAGAACTCCGTAGGGTCACTGTGTAACCTGATCACCCAAATTTGGTAAGGTTTTTCTTCATTCTTCAATGATGATTTCTAAATTTGTTAAATCATCACCAATAGAAGTTAACAATAGTTTGCAGGACTCATAAACTCCTCTCAAGCACGTCAAACCGAGATGAACAACCTCAACCCAATCACCCTCCGATATGTTCAAACCCGAGACTTCTAGGGTGCTTTAAATCCGTTTCTTGTTCTGTTTTAATTAATTAATTCGTCCTAGAAGTAGCTCATGCATAGTAGAATGCTTAGGTAACTTAAATAAAAAAAAGACAACCTATGCATGCAAGGAAATTGTATGAAAATCTTGGGTTCATCACTCACACGAGAAGGCTTGGTGTTGTGCAGGTTTTGTTTAAGTTTTTGGGACGATTTTTGGAGTCTAAATCGGAATCCTTTCACTCAAGAATATGTAAGTATACGTACTAACTAACTCAAAGCCTTCATATCATGTTCTCTTAAAGCTTTTTAATTGCATTTTATGAAATTATATGGGTTTGAACAAGTGAAGAAAACCTAGATTGAAAAATCAATTTTGTGCACTAGCCAAGCAGTTAGAACTGCAGAGATAGGTATAGAAAATAGAATTTTTGTATTTTCTACATTTTTCATACCCATTTTGCTTGCTGAATTGTTTGTGATTGTTTGTTTACATTGTTAAAATTCTGGATACATGAAATTAATTTGTAAACTAAAACAAATGGAAAATTAAAGTAAGTTATTAGATAAGAAAATAATTTTTTGAGCATGAAATTAATTTGTAGATTTAAGAGGAATTTGTTGATAATTAATTGGTATTTCAGTTAGAATCAAAATTAAATTAAGTAGTAAAATGATCACTAAAACAATTTTAAACAAATAGGAAAAATCTTAAGAATAGGAATAATTTGAATAAAATAAGTAATGCATTTAAATAATAATAATAATAATAAAAATAATTAGCCTGGAGGGTATGAGAATGATCATTTTGACTCCTGGAACCTTAACCTAATGCATGTAATTTTAAAAACAACCACCTTGTTAACCCCTCCCTCTACTTGAATGTACAACAAAAAATATGGCATGCAAAAATAAGGACTAAGAAACAAAAATTAGAAAAAAAAAGGCGTTACACACCCAATAAGTTGATCCAAACTCCTCAACTCAATAACACTTCAGAAAGCTCCCTAGTTTCGAAGAACTTGAAGAAGAACAATGAGCACTAACCTAATTAAAGAAAAGCTCAAAGCTTTAATTTATTAATTTTTAAAGTTGTGTGTACAAACTAAGAGTTTAAGCCTTTATATAGGCTTTATTTATTAATTCTAATCGGAATAGGATTGAAAATTCCTATCCAACTCTAGGAATTAATTTAATTATAAAACAAATACATAATGTAACACTCAAAATTCTTCTTTTATTTTATTTTAATTTTATTGGAATTTTGTCTCATTTTGTTTTATTTTAAAAATTAATTTATAAGGTTTTAATTTAATTAAATTAAATTTAATAGAAATAAAAATAATAATAATAATAAAATGGGGTAAAATTATTTTTGGGATTTAATTGAAATTGATTTTGGAAAAAAGGAATGAAAAATTGAATTATGGGGATATTTTTGAAAAGAAAATCGAAAACTGGGGGTCAAAACGCAATTTAAAAAAAATAGTGCCACGTCAGCAGCCCGGTCAGCAGTCCCGACCAACCAGAACACGTCGCGTGGCAGGGACATTGATGCAGGAAGCCACGCGGGACGGAGACACGTGGACAATCTGCGTGCGCGCGATCGGACGGCCCAGATCCGTTCCTGCGCGCACAAACGGCCCAGATCAAAAGCACGCATGGACGACTCAGATCGCATCGCGATGGACGACCCAGATTTATTTCTAATTTAATCGCGATCGGATGGTCCAGATTAAATCATGATAGACGGCTCAAATTAAAAGGGGAAGGTTATAAATAATCGCATCCACACCCAACCCCAAACCCTAGCCGCCAGAACCCTCGCCGGAGAAGACGACTCAGCCACCAGAGGAACCGGCCGCCGCCACCCGCTGCCGCATTGGAGGATTTTTCGGCCGCCAAACGAGGTAAAATTTCTCCCCTTGGCTTGTTTTTCGATGTTGAACCTCTCTGTGGCCAAATCGGAGCCAAACCACCGGCCAATTGGCCAGAAAACACCGCCGAAGTCCAGCGGCACCGCCGCGGATTTTTTCAGTTTTTACCTCCGATGAGACTCTTTCCGGTTCTCGTTCGATGTAATTTTTATACCACTATGACCACCGTCCTTAACTCTACAGGTTGACCAAAGTAAAATAACAAATTGCAACTCGCACCGGAGGAGCCACCGCACCCGAGAGCTTCGCCGCCAGTAAGTCTCAATTTTCTGGAATTTTTTGGCCCACCGAGGGCCCTAGGGGTGTTTTATCATAGGAACCAATGCAAGTTTGGCAGAATTCGGCCGAAAACGGCCAACCCGAGGAGGATCGCTGTCGTGGGTGGCGGCGGCAGCGCTGGAGCACGGCGAAGCCGCCGTACCGGAATTTCGAAATTGGCCAAAAAGGCCCTAAGTCTGTTTCAGTTTCTGAAAAAAAATTCAAGGAATCTAGGGACTGCCCGTAGGCGCAGTGAGAACCCGATTTCAGACTCCGAAACAAGAAGGATCCCTCACCCTATTTCCTATAACGGCATTAAAACTTAATAAATGATAAAACAGTATTTTATGAATTAATAGATATGTATAATTAATTAAGACTGCTAATGGAGCCCGAATCTGATGTATTTTTGGGTCAGGTGTTGTTTAATTTATTTTGCAGTTTTGAATGCAGTATGGTACCTGATGTGTTTATTTTATAGTTTCGTATGCATGAATCACGATTTCATTTATTATGGTTTGAATTATTATGAACCCGATGTTGTGTTGCCTTGTTTGGTGTCCATTACTGATTTACATGTTTATGTTTGATTGGATAATTGAGATTAAGAAAAAAATGAAAAAAGGTATGTGAATTGATAAATAGATAATGTCGACAGCCTGACTAGATATCCTGAGAGATGGTGGACGGACCGGGTCCATAGAGAACCCTACTGGAAACGTGATCTCTCATATCGGACGGGGTATGGAGACTTTATGTGTTTTGGCGCCCATACCGGATGTGGTATGGGACGGCCCGTTTCACCCTCATACCAGACGGGGTATTGAGGTTTATGGTTTTGGCGCCCATACTGGACGGGGTATGAGGACGACCTTGAAATTAAGTTATTAATGTGAATGGTTCACGTATAGCGGGAACTCCCTATGGATCCCCATAGATATTAGTAGGCTGTTAAAAAATGAAATTTGTTGCCTGATGATTGAAATACAAAAGTATGATATGTGTTATGTTACAGAATGTGCATGATCTTATGATGTTTATGATGTTATTGTTTCTCATAAGTTGTTTTCATGAATCTCACCGAGGTAAGTGGACAGTAAAGGTTTTTATTATTGATAAATGAGTTTGTTATAAATTATACTCCATTGGTCATTTTTGTTTTCTACCAACCTTTACTTCTGTAACAGTGAGATAGTGTGATGTCTTTACTGGGTTAGTGTAGATCATTCCTTACTTAACCATTTCAGATCAGGAGAACTTTGTTCCCGAGCCCGTTCTGCAGGAAGGCGGCAAGTAGAAGCCTAAGAATATATTAGTTTTCCTTATAGTATTCATTCATAGTATTTCTTTTAGTTAGTTTATTCTTTCATATGTTTAATTCGTTTTGGTTGTTGTGTAAGGGATGTTAATCATAATCTATTTTATTTTGCTTCCGCACTTAAAATAAATTTATACATTTCCTTTTAATTTTCGGGGCCGTTATACATAAATAATTAAATATTTAAGTCCTTATCCTAATCCTAACATAATAATTAATTAATTTTATGGATAAGACTTAATATTAAAATATTAATAAAAATATTAATGAATACGATGTAAATCTCCTCCTTATCTCCATATTTTCCATGTGCTTTAATCTCTTTGTAGACTTCATGTTGATGAAGAATTCCCCTTGGAAAATTTTTCATAAATTTCACATGTGAAAATAGAATCAAAAAGTCTCTTTTTCATATTACACTTGTTGCCTGCATGCTTTTTTTATGCTAAATTTGTATTCAATTCGAATACGAATCAACATGTGAATCAGTTTGGAAAAAAGAGATGAAGTAAGAGACCAAATTGGACTTAAAACATGTTGTCCAGGTTGTCTGCGCATGCAGGCTTGCTGCTACATGCGTGTGGCACGCGTTGGAGGCCCTTTCGTTTACCCGCGCATGTGACATTGGCTATCCGCACAAGCACGCCCCTGTGCGGGTTCTAATGTGGGTAGGAGCTGTTTTCCCACACCCTTCGCATGCGACATAATCCCGCATGTGCAATTTTTCCCAAGGCACGACATGGGCTGACCTTCTTCCTTTGGGCACGATCTTTTTGGGTCATGGCCCACTTTGGTTGTATGGCCTTGAAGCCATCTCGAGTTAGGCCAAAAATAGGCCTTTCTTCTTGCCTTGTAATTTCTTCAAGTCCATTAAACATTACTTGGGGTTTAAGCTCCCTTTAGGTAAACTTGTCCCATTCCTTCAAATAATCCCATTTAAGAAAATAGTCAGAGATTAAATTACTTTTATGTTTAGGGCCTTCCACTTTAGGAAACAAACAAATTTTAGATATGCTTGCCTGTTTGGGACAAGGCCTATGGAATTGCATCATTGGAACTAATTTTGGGTCGTTTAGGATACGTCTCCCCCTTCTTAAAAAAAGGGTGGGGGCCTTGAATCTTGACCTTCATCAAAAGGGAAATGATTAGTGATAACAATAAAAAACCCACTATACTTGTCTGACTTGTTGACTCCACCATTAATGTAGTTCATGACTGAAATCATACTTTCTCCTAGATCATGCAAGATGTCATCACTGAAAACAAAAGAACTAGCAACTAAACATGGCTCATCTTGGTGGCCAGCTTTTTTTATTTTTTTATTTTTGTATATACCGTGATGGGGTGTTCGACCTTTGTGGGAGATTGAATTTCATCTTGCATAGGAAGGTTCTCTGTCACATCATGATATAGTCAGGCCATCTTGTCCCTTAATTTTTCTCGCACTAAGTCCTTCTATTCATCAAATAGATATTAGAATTTTTGCATGTCGCATCATAGTTCGGCGAACTCTTCACAAAAACTCATTGTGAAATATTTATACAAGGAAAGGTCAGTGAAAACAAATACACTCTCCCTCAACTTCGCTCGTATTTACCTCATAATCTCTCACTCTACAGCTTCTTCTATCGACTTGAGCATTTAAAATTGGATTAGTTTAGATCATGATCTGTACATTAGTCTCTTTAACACACAAAAAATCCTAGGGGAATCTAATTTCTACAAAAAGCTCATAAACAAGTACACAGAAGGAGTCGTGTGCTTTTATTTATATGTTAAGCAATTAGGAATGAGTAGTCTTATATATATAATGGAACAAAACTACAAGAAAATAATATAAATGTTGATCATCAAAAAAACAAAATGAACTTTACAACGTAGGGATATGATCAATCCTGATAGACATAACTGGAGGGTGTATCTTAATTATACTACCCAATATCGGCTACGATCTATGAATGATCAAATTTCCTTATGTAACATTAAGTCAAAATTTTGGGATGCAAAATAGAAATTAAACGTGAAGCAAAAAAGATTTAGTCTCGTAATGGGTAAGTTAATCTTCCTTTTTGCTTTTTGCAAATGAATGAGAACCATAAGTTTTCACGTGCACCTAGTAGGTGATGTACTCTTCCTTTGACTCTTCATAGGTTTTCTAGTCACATTATTAAGCGGTTACTGTTCTTTTAAATGCAAGAATGCAAACAGCAAAGCAATTGCTTTATGGTAAGCAATTAGGATATTTTTGAATTTTTTGATTTTTGTATTTTTTGTTGAATAATGATAGAAACACGAACCACTTAAATTAAACAGATAATTATGAGTTCGAGTAGGATGTAATATGAATTAACAATTCAAAATAAATTTGAATGTTAATTAATTCACAATAATGTTAAAGCAATTAAAGATAATTAGGTTCGTTAAGAGCTTAAGCTTTAATACCACCTGACGTGGGAGGGTATGAGAAGGATCGTTTTGACTCCTAGAACTTCAACCTAACGCATGTAATTTTAGAAACTTAACTGCCTAATACTGTCCCTCTACTTGAATCTACAACTAAAAATATGACATGCAAAAACAAAAACTAAAGAATAAAAATGAAGAAAAAAAAAACATCGCATACTTACCCAATAAGTCGATCCCAACTCTTCGGCTCAACAAAACTTCAGAAAGCTCCTTAACTTCAAATAACATGAAGAAGAAAAATTAGCACTAAGTTAATTTAAAAAAAAGATCAAAGCTTTATTTTATTAATTCTCAAAGTTGGGTGTATAAACTAAGAGCTTAATGAAGGTTGTATTCAAAATTCCTATTGAAGAACCTCTTACTTCCTAAATTTATTTTTGTAAATAATAATATATGATATTCCATATTTAAACAATATAATAAATTGAATCAAATAACCAAAGTAACATTTGTAAAACTAATGTGATAGGAAAGAATCACAAAGTGATTACTCTATAGGAGATACCAATGGTTTGAAAATTTCATGATGTTTTTCTTGAAGACCTACCAGGGTTACCATCAGATTGTGAGATTAAATTCTCTATTGATCTTTTGCTTGACACTCAGCCCATTTCTATCACCCCGTATGGAATGGGAAAAACTGATTTAGAGGAACTATAGAAATAATTGCAAGAACTCTTGGAGAAATGATTTATTTTCCCTAGTATTTCTCCTTGGTGTGCACCTGTCTTGTTTGCAAAAAAGAAGGATGAGACTCAATGGTTATGTATTGACTCCAGCTAAGTTACCGTCAAGAATAAATATTCTTTACCGAGAATTGTTGATCTCTTTGACCAATTATAGGGTTCCAACATGTTGTTTGTGAAAAAGAAGGATGAGACTCAACGGTTATATACTGACTACAGAGAACTCAACTAAGTTACTGTCAAAAACAAGTATCCTTTACCGAGATTTGATGATCTTTTTAATCAATTACAAGGTGTTAGCATGTTTTCTAAAATTGACCTAAGGTCCGACTATCATCAAATTAAGATCAAAGCAGAAGATATTCCAAAAACTGCATTCAAAATAAGGTATGGCTACTATGAATTCCAAGTCTCATCTTTGAACTAACTAATGCACCAACGATATTTATGGATCTCATGAACCAAGTTTTCAGGCCCTATCTAGTCAAATTCATCATCATGTTTATCAACAACATCATGATTTATTCCATGAGTAAGTATGAACATGTTGAACATTTGAGATGTGTATTAGGGATCCTCATAAGAGAGAAACTGAGCAAGTGTGAATTCTGGCTCGCGCGAATCTTCTTCCTTGGTCATGTGGTCCTTAAAATTAGGATAATAGTGGAATCTTCCAAAATTAAAACCATAGTGAACTGGAAACGACCCACCACTATTTTAGAGATTCACCATTTCCTAAGATTGATAGGTTATTACCATAAGTCCATTAAGGAGTTTTCAAAAATTGCAGCCCTTTTTACTAAGCTTACTAGAAAAAATGTTAAATTTGAATGGACTGATGATTGTAAAAGACAATTTTAAAGAACTTAAGAACTAACTTGTCACTGCTCCAGTGTTGACTCTACTTACTGGTTCTAGGGGTTATGCAGTACATACTAATGCTTCAAAATTGGATTTGAGATGTGTTTTGAAGCATAATAGCAAGGTCATTGCTTATGGATTAAAGAAACTGAAGAACTATGAGCATAATTATCCGAACCATGACTTAGAATTCCCTGCTAATGTGTTTGCCCTCGAGCTTTGGCGTCATTATCTGTATCAAGAAAATTTGAGATTTTCACATAGCATAAGAGTCTTAAATACCTCTTTAACCATAAAGAACTATATATGCACCAACAAAATAGGATGGATCTCCTAAAGGATTATGATTGTAACATCTCCTATAATCCAGGTAAGGAAAAAGTAGTCGCCAACGCCATGAATAGGAAAAATTTCTGCATGATGAAAAAAGTAATGGTCTCTAAATGAAAAAACTTGGAAGATATTTAAGAACTTTAGTAGGGAACTCAGAGACAGGGTGTGTATGTGGCCAACCTAAAAATTCAACTTGCAGTGGTTAAAAAAATTAAAGATGCTCAAATGGCCAACTATGTGATACAAACTTTGAGGAAAGAAACAGAATAAGGTTTAAAGGCTAACTTCAGGGTTCATAATGATGGCTTACTCAAATTTAAAGGTAGATTGTGTATTCTCCATGATAAGAATATGAATAAACTCATTTTAGAAGAGGCACACAATTTCAGAATAATTTTTCATCTGAGTAGCATAAAAATGTATCAGAATTTGACATACTAGTTCTAGTGGATAAGATTGAAGAAATACATAAATTTGTTAGCAAATGTTAGAGAATTAAGGTTGAACACTAGAAACCAAATGGTTTGCTTCAACCCTTACCTATCCCGTAATATAAATGGGAGCATATGACTACAGATTTTATAATGAGATTACCTATAACCAGGTCAAACCATGATGCCATATGGGTTATTATAGATAGTATAACAAATCAGCACATTTCCTGCTTATGAAGACTACAGATCCACTTGATAAGCTTGCCAAGTTGTAGATTAAGGAGGTATTTAGACTCCATGGCATTCCTATATAAGTTATCTCATATTGAGACTCTTGATTTACTTCCAGATTTTGGAAAAGTCTCTAGCAAATTCTAGTCACTACACTGTTAAATATTTCACCCTCAAATGAATTAACAATCTAAAAGAACCATCCAGACTTTGGAAGATCTTTTTCGAGCTTATGTCTTAAAGATGGGAGGAAATTAGGATTATCACATGCCATTCATAGAGTTTGCTTATAATAGTAGCTTTTAATCTAGTATTGGTATGGAAAACCTTATAGATCTCCAGTATGTTGGGAAAATTTTAGAGATTGGAGATTGATTGGACCATAATTGGTCAAAGAAACCAATGCTAGAGTTGCTTTAATCAAGAAGAATCTCAAGACAGTTCAAGGCAAACAAAAGAGTTATGTAGACAACTGCAAAATAGATTTGGAACTCAAAGTTGGTGATCATGTATTTTTGAAAGTATCACTGCTTAAGGGCATCATGAGATTTGGAAAGAAAGAAAAGTTGAGCCCTTGCTTCATTGGACTTTTTAAAATTTTAGCTAGGATGAGGTTCTCTATGTACCAGCTAACACTACCACATGAATTAACAAAAGTGCATAATTCCAAGTTTCTATGTTATGCAAATACCAACCGGGCCTATCGAATGTGCTGCACTACAAGAAACTCCCAATTAAAGAAAACTTCACTTACGAAGAAGTGCTAGTGGCCATGTTGGAAGAGCAAGACCCAATACTCAAGAACAAGACTATTACAATGGTGAAGAACTTTAGCAACATCACTCCCAAAATGAAGTTACTTGGGAAAGTGAAGACTTAATGCGGAAAATGTACCCTCATCTACTTTAAATTATGTATCAATTTGGGGGACTAAATTCATTTGGGGGTGAGAATTTGTAAAACACAGCA